TTTTATATAGATAACTGTGCCCACGTTTCCGTTATCCAGTAATTGCAGCTAAAATAATTCCCTCTAAACGCGAATAAATCGCACGTCAATCAAAAACTATGAACCAAAAAAGCACAATCTATCCCGAGTGAGACAAACTGCTTGATCCCCGTCTCCAGTGTACCAGCAGAGAACCTGCAGAACTGAATCAGCGAAAAAACACACCAGGCTACACAGCCTCTCTACCTGAGCAGCTGAAGCTGCGGCTCACACCCTCGACACACAGACACACAGACAGCGCTTCTGCATGCCAGCCACACGTGTGCGCAACTGTGAGAAATAAATATGTGAGGTGTACGCTGCTTTTCTATCTTTTATTTCCTTTTCTTTCTTTCTTACACTTCTAATACAGGACGGGTTGTTTTAATTGACTGAGTTGATCATTAAGCCATAGTGATGCGCGGATCGGCTCTGATAGCACCCGAATCAGCATGTACGCATCAACCATCCAGCCGTTACAACATGATTGAGCTAGCAAAGCAGTTTTGTGTTGCTATGTGTGGTATTTATTCAGTTTTGGGAAATCATGAAGTCTAGAAAGCATCAGTGGCTGCAGCTGACAGGGACAGCTAACGTTAACACCAGCAGCAAAGCTAACATCAGGACGTCATCTGTTAAAAGCCTCCCGGTGTCGGTGAAACTACTCCAGTTAGCTCAATCATGTTCTAACTAAGACATCTGCTGGAAAAAATATTTTTTTCACGGACCGTTTCTTGAGTTATTGAGTTATTACAGACACCACTAACGGTTAGCCCAGCTAATCTACGATAACCATGTTATTAATTACACACACAGAAATAGTAACGTTTGTTCAATCATTGTGTTTATAGACTTTACAAACATCAGATTAGTCTAAACGATGATATAGTGACATGAAAAATGTGATATATAGCTAAACTCTGCTGGTTTTCTACCCTAAGTATTTGTAAACAACACGGCGATTCCCTGGGGGCACCACCGGAAGTGAAGGGCGTGAGCGATCGCCGAGGCCCCTGCACTTCCGTTAGTCGAAAAACTCCGGGC